GACAGCTCTGAATTGCTTCTATAAAACTCATTTCAGGAGACATGACTGATAAATATTATGTAATTATAATAACAGTTTACCTTGTATATTATTTTAATAAAAGTCCATATTGTTTTTACACTGCGTGTTGAATCCCGTTTCGAGATTGCAATATGATAGTGAGACTGAATCTGTCAGTGGAGTTGCAGTAACCATGTTTAAATGGAAATAAGACCTTGGAGACCTTTCTGTTAACTGGCAATGTGGCTTTGTTGCAACTGTCTCGTAAATATAAGTCAACCACATATAATTTAGTCATTGTTGAGGATTGATAGCTCTAAGCAATTAAACTCTTCATGACTGAGATATGTTGAGAGACCCTGATACAGTGTGGGTGGCCAGATATTATAAATTATGTAACTGTATGTATTTCCTGACATTTGAGTTATACCAATCGATTGTTGCTCATTACTAACACTTCCAGATTAATTCATGATCATTAGGGTGCCTAAAGACCTCGTTTATCCCCCGTGGTGATGTGTGTGTCTTAAATGTTTCCTATGTATTTGGACAAGGAAAAACTTTTTGACATTTGGCTCCAAACTAATTGCTTTGGATATGAAATACTGTAACATTCATTACACAGTCATTACTACAGTATGCTTTTTAATTTGATGCTACTTTGCAAACAGTGGCAGCATTCCAAAAAGCATTCAAGAGATATTTCATCCTAATGCCACATTCATCTAAATCTGTCATCCTAAGTATACTTGTTCTCTTCATAGGGTACCCCAGCAGGTCTGGTGCGTTATAAAGTAAACCAAGAGGCCTATCCATACTCTGCCAAAATATTTGATGTAGATGGAAAGACGGGAAATGTGGTAACCAGAGTAAACCTCAATGAAGAGCCCAACCTCAAGTTCAGTGTAAGTATGTGCACACCACAGCCTTGAGCTGGGACCACCAACAATGGGTTCGCAAGGTGAATTTAAGGGGTTGTGAGAAAATTTTCTAAGAAATAATATTTTTTTTTGCCATACTAGCCTCATGGTTCTAATGATGGCAATGCATTAAAGTAAAAGATTATTTGATTGAACTTCTGACAACTCATAGAAATTGACCCACAAGTAGATATGGCTTTGTATTAAAGACACAAAAAGTTGGTAACCCCTGCTCAATGCAGCATTCAGCCTGTGTCTCAGTGGCCTTTACGTGACACTGATCAGAACTGGATCCCTATTGCAATACATTTTTTAGTACAGCAAAATTGTATTTTTATTTTACCTTTGCAATATTGACGTTAGATATATGCACATCTACAATGAAGTGAAACAGCAGTCAAAAATCCTGCCACTAGAAAGATATTAACTAGACAGTAATGTATTCAATGTAACCATGTGGCAGTGAACCTATTCTATATCACAATGCATGCATGTATGCAGCATCACTTAATGTAATTCTTAATCAATCAAATTGATCTGTTCAAACTGTAAACATTGGCACTGCCACTGTAGTCCAATAGAGACATCATTACTGGAGAAGATTTATCTGTTGCATCCCTGTTTTCCGGTTGTTTCTGGATTTGGGTGTTTAGTGGATTTGAGTATTGGGACAACATCACGTGAATTGAGTCATTTAAAATGTATTTGATCATCACTCTTAGATTGTACTTGCTTACTTGTAGCGCTGGTGTACATAAAGGTGTCTTTGTACAGATCACTCTTATAAATCCCCATCCACAGTACAAAGTATACTGCAGTATCTTATTAGTTTCAAAACTGCCTTTTCCCAGCTGCACTCCCCAATGGGGCTTTGGGCCATGCTAATTTCATCTTTTCATTGGGCTTTAATTAACACAACAAGGATTCAGCGTCCTCTGAAGATGTCACACAGGGGACTAATTCTACCTCGTTTGCTCCCAATAACTCAAACAAAATGAGTCAGTCCAACACGGTGTAAAATTTTTGAATTATGACTGAGATAAATACTGTCTAAGGCATAATTTTTACAAGGACACATACACAGTTGGACAATTTCATTGACATGTAGCAAATGTCTACCTAATGTCCTTGTGTCACATTATAAAGGCACCAAAAACTATTTTTGAAGCAGGCATAAGCAAATGTGCAGGGCTAAAAACTGGTTTGTAGCCAAAAAGCAACCTATTCACATTGCTAGCACAGTTGCAAATAGGTCATCTGTGCAATTGAACAAGACAATTAACTACCACATGTTTTAGTAAAAAGTTTCTGTTGTCCACACATTCAGCAGGCTGGAGGCACTTATTGTATGAATATAAAAAAGGGCAATGCAGTATTAGTAACAATTTCCTTGCTAAATAAGAGGTAGAAAAAAACATTATCTCAATGTCTTGATATTTAAGTTTGTCCCTCATTAAAATTCCTTTGGGTCCGGTTAACAGTGCTTACCCCCCAATTAAATGAAGAAGAAAGGCTAAGTAGGAAAAAATAAGCACACCAGAGGGACTCACACTCATCCTGTTCCAATTCCCATGCAAATAATGTGCTTTTAGAATGCAGGAAACCAAGATGTACGCATTTATTTTGGTTTATTATTATATAGTAATACATTAGCTGCATTCATTTATGTGGTTGTGTCCACTATCCATTGTAAAAAGGTCTCAACTCTTATCGTTGCAATGTTAGTGGGCAAAAACGGAGAGCAGCGGCAGCACTAAAGAGTCATGTTGCAAGCAATAATGTGGATAGCTACTGAATGTTGTGACTTTGTCTTCACCTTTGTGTGTCTTTGATTGGCAGCTGGTGGTGGTGGCCTATGATGATGGTGAACCTGCAAAGGAGAACACAACTCTAGTAGAGATCACAGTCCTTCAGCCGTCTGTCATTCCTGTGTTCACTCAGGAAGAATACAGGTACAAACACTCACACATACACAGTACATGTTGCTAAAATCCTAAAATTTTAGTCCAGGCTGATATGACAATATATGCTGTTGCTGGTAGTGACATTAATAACACCATAGTAGTGCCAGAGGCCTGTTTGGAATGACACATTCATGGATAACTGGAGTCAGGAAATGCATACACTGTTAGAAATACAACAGTAGAGATGAGCAACTTGTGCATCTAAAGGCTGATTTATTGTTGTACGTAGGCATCAAGTCTACACCGTAGCCCTAGGAAAGTGACCTAGGCCGTTGTGAACATTTATACTTGTGAGCTGGTTTATCTGTCTTGCTATGCAGATGTCACTAGTTGGGGTTTCTATACCACTCTGTTGAGTTTCTTCATATACTTCAAACATTGCAGACTGAAACGGAAACTCTTTTTTTTAAATCCCCCGCCGCCTTTAAAACGAAAGGACTAGGGAATACGAGGGGATAGACAAGCATGTCATGCAGTGAAGCAGCTTTCGGCGTGTGGCTCTTTGTCTGTGTGTGAGGATACAGTTGTTTGAGAATGTGTGTGTGTTTGAAGGGGGATTCTCAAATATTGTTAGGTTTTGCATGAGTCACTTTCTGGGGGACCAATCACAGTTCCCACACATGTTACATATGTGGGAAGGTACATGTCAGGCTACAGTGTATAAGGCTATGCTGTATAAATCTTCTAAATCTAAAATGTATGTGAGGCTTGAAGGTTTGTTATCTTGCAATGTGCACATGTGCTGGCTCACATCAATCGGAATTTTGTCCAGTACATGCATGTGTCATTTCCTGTGAATCCCTTGTGCACATGCATGCCATTTGAAGTGGGATTATATGATGAAAGCGTTTAGAATTATAACATTAATGCATTAATTATTGCAGATCTTAATCAGAAGAGAAAAGAGATATGACATTTACACTGAACAAAATTATAAATGCCAAACACTGTTTTTGGCCCCATTCATCATGAGCTGAAACTCAGATCTAAGACTTGTCTCTCATGTACACAAAAGTTTTCAATTAAATATTGTTCACAAATCTGTCAAATCTGCTGTTAGTGAGCACTTCTCCTTGCTGAGAATTAATTCCCATCCCCTCCACCCAGGTGTGGCATATCAAGAATGCTGATCAGACCAATGAACACAGGTGCATTTCTATTGATGGCATTTTGAATTGCCACAAGAGATACCGTGACGAGATCCCCTGAAAGGCCCAATGTTGTGCCATTCATACCACGACATTCACCTCATGTTGCAGCATGATAATGCAAGGATCTGTACACAATTACTGGGAAGGCTGAAGAACATCCCCAGTTTCCTTGAATGGCCAGCAAATACTCCCACCCGGACATGTCACCCATTGAGCATGGTTTGAATGCTCTGGTGTACGACAGCGTGTTCCAGGTCCGCCCAATAATCCAGCCAACTTCGCACAGCCCAAATTGAAGAGGCAGTTGGACCAAAAACATTCCACACCGGCCACAATCAAAACCTGATCAACTTATGCAAAAGGCAGATGTATTGTACTCGCGTGAGGCAATATGGTGGTCAACACAGATACTTGTTGGTTTTCCGGACCCTCCCCGACCCCCCCAATACAAGTGACTGCACATTTTCGAGTGCCTTTTTATTGTGGCCAGCCTAAGGCACACCTGTGCAATACACCCATGCTGTTCTGATCAGCATCTTGATACTGCCATTACCTGTGGAGTGGAATGGAATTATCTCGGCAAAGCGAGACGTGTTTCACGTAACCACAAGATTTTTGACCAGATTTGTGAAACAGATATTCTGAGAGAAATAGGCTTTTGCTGTACATAAGAGAAAGTCTTAGATCTTTGAGTTCAGCCTTCCATGATGAAAATGGGGCAAAAAACAAAAGTGTTGCGTTTATAATTTTGTTCAGTGTACTTACATATTTGCCATTCATGCACCCATTTAAATGGTTTCATGCAACTGTTTTTTGTCTGTAGAAGCTGTAAATTACCAATAAAACACCAATAAACCCAGGCCCAGATATCACACAAAAACACACACACACAGAGTTTATACTTGCTGTCTAAATGTGGGAATGCAGCCATGTAGTTGTTGCAAGAGTGAAAATCCTATGGAGAGAAAGGGACATTCAGCTTAATTTCACACGCCCAACCAAAAAAAAAAATAATAATTGGGTGGCAGGTTCTCCTCCGACTGTTTTGTTTTTCATCTGGCAAATTAATGAATGGCATTAATATAGGTTTAATTAAAATATGGAGAGGAAGGTTTAACATGCAAAGAACAGAATTCATTATTAACTTTTCTCTGATGGATTAAAGCACAGAGCACTTTACACTTTAAACCATTAAAAATACTGGGACACAACCATGCATCACAGTACTAGGCAGTAGATCATTTTTCTCAGATTGCACACACATACAATAAACCAGAGGGTGAGTCTGAACAGCGTGATTATTGTTTATTTGCCTAATTCTATTTCTAATTCTTGACAATTTTGTTTTCATAATATAAATCCCAGAATTCCTCTCAAAACAAAGTAGTAGTAGCATCAACTTTGAGAAGTGCTGGAACCGTATTAAAATAAACAGACACTCAATCCAAACACGTAAAAGGGCACATTAGTTGGTCGCTTCCTCTCTCCATCAGTGGCTGGTGGGCTGGACAATGCATGTAATTTCCTTTCAGTTCCTTTGCGTGCGTTTCTGATTTGAATTTTGCAAAAATGGCAAACCATGCCCCCCGGCAGTGGAAAAGCATATAGAGAGCTGTTTACAAAACAATAATACATAAAATGCATGAAGAAATGTCATAAAAAAATAGCGTCTAATATTGTTCTTTTAATCTGAAAACAATAGAGTGTTTTCCTTAATTCTCTAGCTGGAGAAATATCTATCCACTGAAGCTGTAAAACAGCAATAAATGTGAAGCACTAGCATCAAATTTTGTAAAGACAACATATATACACTAGACACACTCTTTCAAAATGTCAATACACACACTACAAACTCAACCAACATTAATAAATTATGCTCTTACCTCATATGCATACACAAACACACTCATTCTTAAGTCCTCATTATAACGCTTGTATGTGGCGCTTGTTTTATGAGGTCATGGGTTTTCCTCAGGTTTTCTCTTCTGTGATTGGCTGAGTAGACAGAGGGCATGTGAAATTGGCTTATAATCTACAGCTATTATCAATCAGTTTCTCGATCTTGATCTATCATTGTTTCAGTCTTATCTCATCTTTCATTAAATATACAAACATTTTTCTTATTTACTTTTCCGCTCGTTCTTCTCAGTCTTGGTGTTGTCATTCTCTTCCTTTTCTTTGGATTTATTTTTCCACATAGCAGTAGCTTCTCATTTCCTGTCTTAATACATTTTCTTCCTGCCACACCGCTTTTTTCAGGGCCTCTATATGTCTTTGTCCCCATAATGACGTTGGAGGGACTGAATTGGTCTCCTTCCATTTGCTTGCTTGTTATATCGTCTGTCAGACACAATATTGAACACATCACACTTTGATGAAAAT